TTGGTAATTCCAAAATGACCGGCGGTTGGGGCGTCGTGACATTCTTGAAGGATTTGTTTCTTGAGTTCGGGATCGTCGGGGACGCAGACAAGGCCATCCCGCAGGAGTAGCCCATCTTGAATTGAGTACTGGGCATTGTCCGAGTTCGACTTTGCGGTCTTGGCGAGTATTGGACCAAAGTATAGATCATCGGGGATTAGTGTCTTGATTTTTTCCTGGATCGCTGGCGTCTCTGGTTGCAGTGACCGGGCCTGGATGGTGTTCAGAATCTGGATCGGCGGTAGGAGGGTCATCTCGGTCTTGCCGTGCTGGGCCGCACCTCCCTCTCCAGGGTTGTCCCGCCGGGACAAAGCATCGGCAGCGGCATTCTGGGAGCCAGGGCGGTAATGGATGGTAAAGTTGTAGTCAGACAAGATTTCAGACCAGCGGACTTGACGGCGGCTCAATTGGCGCGTGGTGGTAAAGTACTCAAGATTTCTGTGGTCGGTGATGACTTCCGTGGTAGCGGGCGAGAATTCCAGGTAGTGTCGCCAATGTTTAAAGGCAGACACAATGGCAAGGAGTTCTTTGTCGTAGATCTGATAGTTGAGTTCAGCAGGCAATAGTTTTCGGGAGTAGTAAGCGATAGGATGTAGGCGTCCATCTTGGTCACGCTGACTGCAGACAGCGCCGAGGGCCTTGTCAGAAGCGTCAGTTTCAATGATGCAGGGGCGATCTGGTTGGAAATGCCGAAGGACGGGGCCAGACATGAAGCGTGACTTGAGCTCCGTGAAAGCGGCTTGTGCGATAGCGGTCCAGACAAAGTTAGTATTTTTCTTGAGTAACGCGGTGAGAGGCGCGGCGATATGGGAGTATTTCCGTACAAAACGACGGTAGAAGTTGGAGAAACCCAGAAAGCACTGGACATCCGAAACGGAAGAGGGAGTGGGCCAATCGCGAATGGCGGCAACCTTGGCGGGGTCCATAGAAATACCGTCAGTTCCGATCACAAAGCCGAGGAATTCGACTTTGTCCTTGTCGAACGAGCATTTCTCGAGTTTTAAGCATAGACCAGCGTCTTGGAGCTTGCTGAGAACTTTGCGGACATGCGCGGTATGTTCCTCAAGGGTGTCGGAGTAGATGAGAATGTCGTCAATGTATAGCACGACAAAGTCATCTAGGTAATCGCGGAGGACGTCGTTGGCGAAAGCTTGGAAAGTTCCGGGAGCGTTCATTAGTCCGAAGGGCATGACTGTATACTCGAAGTGGCCATAGCGGCAGCGGAATGCAGTCTTCCATTCGTCGCCCTCCTTGATGCGGAGAAGATTGTATGCTCCTCGCATGTCGAGCTTGGTGAAATACTTGGCTTTGCCTAGTCGGTCGAAAGTTTCGGAGATCAGTGGCAGAGGGCATCGATTGGGGACAGTCACCTTGTTGAGGCCTCGATAGTCGACACAGAGGCGGAGAGAACCGTCTTTCTTTTTAACAAAAAGGACGGGGGCGCCAGCTGGAGACTCGGATCGACGGATGAACCCTTTTGCAAGGTTTTCTTGAATATATTCGCGTAGAACTTGCAGTTCCGTTTGTGATAGGTTGTACACTGGTCCAAATGGCACGGTGGCTCCTTCGACCACAGGGATATTGTGATCATAGGGTCGATGTGGCGGTAGCTTGTCGGCTTGCATCTTGGAGAATACCTGAGCATATTCGGCATATTTCTCGGGCAGTTGGACTGTGGGTTTTGATTCAGGGATAGAGTTGTCGTTGGTGGTTGCGCTGGCGAGTTCTTCGATTCGGGAGACGTCGAGCATGTATCCGACTCCTTGATTGGTCTTGAGGATCTGACGGAGTTGTGTATTGCTAATAATGGAGATGTTGGTTGCTGATCGGTTCTTGGCGGATTTGGATAGTTGGTTGGATCCTGAGGTGTACTTGGTGGGAACCAAAGTGGATTTGGGTTTGGAAGGTGGCAGAAGGATTCGGTCTTGTTCCTGGAAGGAAGGGATGGATCGAGGCATTGTTGATTGTGCAAGGGGGGAAAGCTTGTCGAGTGTGTGCTGATGGAGGCATGGCATAGTAATGGTTCGTTTCTCCCAGTCGATATATGGGTTGTGTGAGCGGAGCCAGTCCATGCCAAGAATAATGGCATAATTGCCAAGTGCAATGAGTTGAAAAGTGTGTGTGGAAAAGTGTTGTGAGTGGGATTGCATAACCAATGTGGTGGCGTGATGAGAGGTATGTGTTGAACCATTGGCAAGAGAGATTTGTAATAAGTGTTGTGCTAGTGGAAGATTGTGCTGTTGTGCTAGATTTTGATGAATGAATGAGATGGTTGCTCCTGAGTCGATCATTGCATGGACTGGTAGTGAGGAGTTTTGGAAGTGAAGAGTAATTGGAATAGTAATAGGGGATAGCAGAGGATCATTTGGAGATTTGTTATACAGCTCGCCCAGACACACTCCAACTTTACTGTCTAGGCTGAATCTTTTTCCAATTGGAAAGAGATTGCATCGGGCTGGTCGCTAGTCTGTGTAGGCTGAAGGGCCGAGATCGAGGCTGTTGCCTTTGGGGCGTTCTTGAACGAGGGCTTTGCAGGTTTCTTGGGGCAGTCGTCAAGCCAATGATCTGCTGAACCACAGTAGGTGCACAGTCCTTCCTTTTGACGACGAAGACGCTCAGACGGTGGCAAAGGACCATGGCGAGCATGCGAGAGATCCATGTCCATCGAAGTGGTCGCGGGAGCTGAGGTAGCAGGGGTGGACGCGGTAGTTGGGGTGGATGAGGCTTGAGTGGTAGTAGAAGTGTGGGCAGTGGTGGAACGGGACGGAGTGCTGGAAGATTTGTTGCCGGAACGGGTCACTGCATAGCCGTACTGTCGGTTGTCGATGTCGATAGCCAATTGTGAAAACTCGGCAAAGGTAGGTGGCTCGGGGTAGTTTGCCATGGCTTCTTGAACAGACTCCTTCAGGCCGAGGCGGAACTGTGAAATCATTGCGCTATCATTCCATGCTGTATCCGCTGCAAGGTTGACGAAACGGTTTGTATAGTCGATGGCAGAACCGCGCTGTCTAAGTTGACGGAGTTGGGTTTCTGCTAGGACGTGAGCATTGGAGACTCCAAAGTTCTTACTCATAAGAGCAAAGAACTGATCCAGGTTAGAAATACATGCGGGTCTCTCCTCGACAGGCAACTTGAAGGACGGAACGTATCTCTGCATGTACTTGAACGCTGCAGTATCACCGAGGCGCGAGATAGCCAGCACAATGCGGTCGTGGTCGTTCGGATAGAGGGTCTCGTTTGCAACGAAGAAGAGTTCCAGCTGAGCCTGAAACCCTTTCCAATCTTCACGCTTGCCGGAGAAGACTGCGGGGGGTGCTACTTTTGGCCTCGAAGGGGAGCTATTGCTGGAGCGAGGTGTAGTTGATTGGAAGATGGCACTCACTGTGTTGGTGACATCGGTCTTGTGATCATAAAATAGTTTGCCTAGTTCTGCGCGAGTGATGGGTGGTAATTGTGACGTCATCTTCTGGACGTTGGATTCGAGGCTGAGTAATCGAGGGTTGAGGTTGACGGTCAGGCTTGTGAAGAAATCTTCGTTCGAAAGAATGAAGTCCAGCATATCACGGTACTTCTGAACAGTCTCCTCGAGTTCGGTGACTTTGGCTTGCAAGGGAGTGACCGTCTGAACTATTTGTTCAAGTGTGGCTACTCGGTCCATCAGTGCTTGGAAGCGCGCGTTGGCTGTAAGGATCTCACTATCGGGTAGCATTGTAGTTGATACGGAAAGTGAAGAGTTGTTGTAGTTTCTGAGGGTTGTGGGTTGTGTACGGAAGATGGTAGTAAAAGAGGAAAGAACTTGAAGAAGATAGGGTTTGGTTTTGTTGTGGAAAAGGCTTTTTTTTTTTTTTTTTTTTTTTTTTTTTTGAGCGCTGAAGTATATCAATAGAAAACAGACAAAGTTTGATCCAAGGTTCTTTAGGTGTATGACTTGGTATTGTCAAGAAAGCAGACCAAGCAATAGAATGAAGTAGATAAAGAGAACCTTGATCAAGGACTAAGAAATGAGTATAAGGAATAGGTTAAAGAGTATTGTCGCATATTTGCCTGTCTCGGGGGTGTCAGCTAATGTAATTAGGCTAGAGACAGTAATTTAGTCATATGACCAGACACCGACATAAATGGAGGTGTCTGGGCTGTTAACAAAGATCCCTCTCTTGTCTTATCAATTCGATTGTGCGTGACTAGCGTAAAAATTTTCATTTTTTTTGATAAATACAACACGGATCGGGATCAGAATCCGTCGAACGATTGACAGGATCCATCCACTCATTTATTTATTCATTCAACCCATTACGAGGAACACTCCATCAATCTACAGGAGCGATTCAGGACGTAACGGGAGCATTTACGGATCATTACAGAACAGGACCTTTACTGTCAGGATTTTTCTCTATTTTCAGGATAATCCAACAAGGACAGGATCCTTTTCTTTTATTTGTGGTCATTTCGTGCGTGTATCTGGTCACTAGTGACAAGGTTACAGCAGAGACTGATCATTAATACGAAGTGTAACAGGCGGTTACTTTCGTTGTTATTATTTGGTTACTATTCTACCTTTTTGTGTTGGAGCTTTCAAGTGCGATCATACATCTGTGTGGTCATTTGAGGTCTTCATATAACACGGTAGCAGAGATTCATTAGAAAACTCACCGTTAGTTTTGATCAAGGACATTCTTGTTCAAATAAACGCGGGATTCGTCTTTGTTGGCATTTAGGTGTGCCCTCATCCGAATTCATTTGCATCAGAAAACTTTTAGTTTTTTCTGGGTGTTGTTTTTTATTTTTATTTTGAATCAAGTGGATCACTGAGCAAAAAAGTACTGGAAGTTGACGTTAGTAGTAACAGTATTATTTTTTCTGGGGTGCAGTCTGGTTGATCATCAGTTTTCAAAAGCTCATTTCGTTTTCTGTTTATTCTGCTTGTCTGTTTGTTTTCTTTTCCTTTAATTGGGTCATAGAGAATGGCAGCGAATACGGCAAAGAAGAACGAGGACGTTGGCAATAAGGTTGTTGGTGCGTTAGATGCACTTACCTTGACGTCGGGACGAGATGAGGGAGCAGGCATGGACGTTGATGTTGACATGCAGGAGACTGTTGGCTCTGACTTTATGGATGCCCATGCAGCCAGAGGAAAGATGAAGGAGTATTCGATGCAACTGGCGACGTTGACGAGACAGAAGATGCAGTTAGCCGCGCGCATCCAAGGGTTGAGCCAAGAGGAGGGCGACCAGGAGCGACCAAAGTTGGCGGAACTAACACGTCAGATCGCTGAGGCCAAGACCGCGATGAACGAGTGGAATGTCATGCTGGATGACCTAGAGAGTGCTGAGAGGTCCATGGGGAGGACGGCATTCTCTAGTGTTGTGACCAGAGAGGAGAATGAGGAGTTGGGGGTTAAGAAGGGTGGAAAGATTGACGAGATCAAGTTGTCGAATGAGTTTCCGCGTTACCATCGGTTGGTCGAGGCTCATCTGCTTCCTGTTCTTGACATCAAGATCCACGGTCCCTTGATTACCAACGTCCGAGAGTTCCTGTACGAATTCCATAGAATAGGAGTAACAAAGTTCACGACGGGCGGGTTCGATGAGAGATGTTCAAGGTTGTTGTGCTTGGCGAATATGGATCGCAAAGCGTCTGATGCCATGAATGCAGTCTTGAGTCGTGACCCTGAAGGAAAGTGGCCGTGGGCGAGATGCGAGAAAGTGTTTGTGGAGAGTGCTATGACGCAGACTGAGAGAACAGATGAGGTTGAGAAGGTGATCAAGATGGGATTAGAACGAGGTGAATCGTACAAGCAGTACTACCATCGGATGAAGAGGTTGATGGATGTGTACCAAGTCAAGGACTTACCCAAGTTCGCTGATTTGTTATTCTTGCTGCAGAGAGCGGTCGACCCGAGCGTTCTTACGATGATCTTGTTGCAGAAGCGCATTGCAGTCCTTGAGGGGATGCTGGGTGTGGCACCTGATGAAACAACCTTCGAGTCTTATATGGACAGTTTGCAGCATATGCAGGGACCCGCAGACAGTGATGAGTGGGCACCGGTTATTTTGGAGAGGAGACGATTGACCGGGGCTGCAGATAACGAAGCAGCGAGACAGGCCCAGAGTTTAAAGGATAAGCTCATCAACCAGCAGAAGAGGGCAGCGGCAGCAGCAACGCTTGCGACGACAAGTGGAACGCGTGTCGGGGGGACTACTGGTGGTAGCATCAACCAAGTTCCTACAGCGGGTGACAGTTCGGTCCAGAAGGGGAATGCTGGATTCGGCGGTCAACGTGGCGCCTTCGGTAATGGTAGTGGTTCTGGTGCGCCTAGAGGTCGAGGAGGTAGTCATGGTCGTGGAGGTTACAAGAGGAACTTCAACCGTGGACACCATCCTTATCCTGGCAGAGGAAACAGCAATGGTAAGCTAAACCACACTGTTGAGTATGATGATGCATCTGAAGAAAAAGTTGAAGTAGATGGTGGTGAGATGTCTGTTGTCGACCAAGATGTCGTTGAGATGAGTAACGAAAATGGTGACGTCACCGAAGTCGAACATGACCGCATGACTAACGACGCGTCTTTCATTCTGCATTCCAAACAGGTGGAAACAAGCAGTGAGATGCAACAAACTGATGTACATGAACTGGAGGAGCAGTCGCACAGTTTAACAGAAGTAGTCATAGTGAATGAAACAACAACTGACGAGAAGAATGTCAGTGACATCAACCCACGGAGTGAAACAGTGAAGAAGAGAAAGAAGAAAAAGAAGAATGCAAAGGGTATTGCGAAAATCGAATTGAAGAGCAAACTGCGTGGTGAATCCGGTTTGGGTATGAGAGTTCATGTAGGTCCATTGCCGATGCATCCTCTCGACGGGGGGGAAGGTAGCGGTGATGCTAAAGTGGCTGTCGACCAAGCAAAGGTGAAGTATGGAGCTATGGGCATTGTTAAAGAAGGAAGAGATAATGCACCGGCCGAGTACAACATCGAGGATGTAGTAGACGACGAGTACCTAAGGGCCTTCGAAAGATTTTCAATTAGTGATAACCCAGTGTCAGACGCATGTGATGGTTACCCATTATTCTCCTTTGGAGAGAAGGACTTTGAGTTAGTACACAAGCACTATGGTTCAAGTAAACGAAAACATCAGCCGGATAATCGACTGTTTGTTCCTGTTTATCTTAATCAAGAGCGACATCTTGCACTCATTGATACTGGTGCCACACATTCATTTATTAGTGCAGCTGTAGTCAAAAAGTATTCTATTCCGGTTAAACCAATGGAAGGATACATTGAATTAGCTGACTCGTCTGTCATTAAACGCGTTGGAGAAACGGAAAACGTAGAGATTGTCTGTGGACAGAATGTGCTTAGCGCGCCATATGAGGTTATTGAACAGAGTCATGCAGTTACCATTGGCATGGATCTCTTTCACCGCTATGGATTCAATATCGTTGGACTACCCGATGCAGATGAGTCGTCTGGACGGATGCCAGCGCCAGTTGAAGACGAAAAGCCCACGCTGATACCTCTCACGATTCCAGAACGAGAAAAGACGCAGGAATTTATTGCGGAAAAGGACGCGTTCATGAAGAGTATAGAAGAGTCGCTGAGGTTAAACGCCAAGATTCCAAATACAAGTCATTGTACTATACCTGAAATGAAGGTGTATTTGCCAGTCCCTGATGACGTTATCCTCTACCGCAGACCTAAAGTATTTGCTGCATCGCAAATGCCGGTTCTTGATGAAGCAATCCAGAATTGGCTGAAGGATGATGTAATTACATTAGCACCTGCAGGTAATGCACACAACAACACATTAACGCTAGCGGCTAAGAAAGATGCTAACGGAAACAAGACTCTCTACCGAGTGTGCTTGGATCCGCGGCCCTTAAACGCGCACCTACCCGATGATAATTTTCCGGTACCACTTATATCAGACATCATGCAATTTGCTGGAGGCAATGCAGTGTTCTCGACTGTGGACCTAAAGCAGGCGTATCATCGATTACCAATCCATGAAGAAGATCAGCCGTTGACGGCATTTATGCATAACGGGATTCAATATATGTTCAAGAAGGCTCCTTTTGGATTGAAGCCCTTGTCCAGTTTGTTTCAGCGTGGCATGAGCCGAATCCTTGGGGATTTGAAATTTGTCAGAAATTTTATCGATGACATTCTTCTCGCATCAAAGAACAGAAGCGATCATGCGATTCAGATGATAGAGTTGGTTAAACGGCTAACTGATGCCAAGCTTATTATTAACCTTGACAAGTGCAAGTTCTACAGTACGCAGGTGGCGTTGCTGGGCTTCATTGTGGATCTTGATGGAAAAAGAATTGATCCCAATAAATTGGTGAATATCAATGATTGGAAACCCCCAACTACGGGTAAGCAGGTTCAATCTTATATGGGGACTTTTAATTTTTTCCGCGATCACGTACCCATTATAGCTACCATTAGCGCTCCGCTAGATGCTATGCGTAATGTGGTGGGTCCATTTACGTTGAATGCTGCTCAGTTGAAGAGCTTTGAGGCACTAAAGAATTTGTTGGTCTTATCGCCCATAATTTGCTGGGTGGATTTCAATTTGCCGTTATATGTTGCTACAGATGCATCTAACGTTGGAATTGGAGCAATTTTATATCAGCTGCCGGAAGGCGAGGCGAATCCCAAAAACATTAGATATATTTCTTTTGTTGCGCGCTCATTGCAACCCAGTGAACGACGCTATAGTACAACTCAGAAGGAGTTATTGGCAATTGTGTTTGCACTGAAGAAGTTGCATTACTATTTGTGGGGCCGTCACTTTACGCTTTTCACGGATCATCGCGCTCTTACTTTTATGCATACGCAGAAGGATATGAACTCGATGCTCACCGCATGGCAGGAGACTATTTTGGATTACACGTTTAAGGTTGTTTATCGACCTGGCGTTCTGAACGTTTTACCAGACGCTTTGTCTCGCCAGTTTCCTCAAGAGTTGTGGACAGCCCGCATTCAAGGATCTGCTCCGAGCAAAATTTATGGTTATGTTCACTTAATCCAGGACGCCGACACTCAACGTGTGACGGTAGCTGTCTCAGAGAGAAGAGGAGTGTTAGTCGACGCACATGCGCTTGGTCACATTGGGACCAATGCCATGGTCAAGCATATTCATTCGTTGCAAAAGACGTGGCCTAATCTGGCCAAGGATTGCTTGGAGTATGTTCAGCGTTGCCAAGAATGCCAGCGAGTCAACATCGCACGCAAGGGATACCACCCTCTGACGGCCATTCATGCTCAGTTACCAGGTGAACATATGGCGGTTGATTTGACCGGTCCATTCCCTGTGGAGAGCGATGGAAACCTATTCCTACTCATTTTGGTTGATGTTTGTACAAGGTTCGTCTTCTTGGAACCCATACCTGACAAGAAGGGGATGACCATTGCAAAAGTTTTGTTCAAAATCTTCACCACTATTGGTTTTCCACGTATCCTCCAATCTGACAATGGCAGAGAATTCGTTAACGAGGCGGTGCAAGTGATGACTACCACTATGGGAGTGCAACATAGGTTACTCACCCCTTATCACCCTCGCGGAAACGGAGTCGCCGAAAATCATGTGAAAACAGCATGCACTATCATTCGCAAAGAGGTTCAAGACCATAAACAAGCATGGGCGAAACATGTTCCTATGGCACAGCTAGCTATGAACACCAGAATTGTGGCTCTACACAATTCGTCCCCATTCTCTTTGTTTTTTGCGCGGCGTTATAATGGTATTAGCAATTTTTCGGACACGACAGAGAAGTTATCATCCCAGGAGGAGCTCTTAAAGCGGCTTGAGTACATGACCAAGACCGTCTTTCCAGCGATTGACACTAAGACCCGTGAAACTCAACGTCGAATGATTGAGCGTTTCAATAGAACAGTACTGCACAGTGAATTCCCTGATGGAGCAAAGGTTATGTCTTTGGACCCGATCTTGGGCGACAAGCTTTCGCCTAGGTATGAAGGCCCTTATATTGTAGTCAGACGAACAACTGGTGGATCCTATGTGTTGAAGGATGCCACAGGAGAAGAGTTAGGTCGTAAATTTGCGCCGTCGCAGCTAAAGCTTGTGCTCGACGATTTTGAAGCAACTGACACATACGTAGTAGAAAAAGTTCTCAACCACAGGCATGGACCTAGGGGGGGGATGGAATACCGCGTAAAATGGAAAGGGTACAAAGAGGAAACCTGGGAGCCTCAAGAGAATTTTATTGAGAGAAAGTGTATCACAGACTACTGGAAGACTAAAAACCTACCAGGATCGCAATCTCTAACGCAGCCTCGTCAAACGGCCGCGACTCTCGGGACTAAGGGTCAAGAGCAGGAGCTCAATCCATCGCAACGTAAAGGTGCTACTAAAACATCAAAGAACATATCCAATGGTGATGCTCTTAATAAGGGTACATGCAAGCGTGCAAACCCCGACGAAGAAGAAGATCAATTGGTCGATCGACGCAGGTCTAAACGACTGCGAAGAAATAATGCTAATGGCGAGAAGATGAGTATTGAGCTTAGGACGATTCGCGGGCGTATGCCTGATCGTCATTAGCATGCATCATCAGTGCATCCGATGAATAATGCAGTAGGGGTTTTTCCGCTTCCCCTACAATCACGTTCGAGGTTTTCCCTCTTGGGGTTTCCCCTCGCAAGGATTTTTAAACGATTTTTTGCCTTGAGTGAACAATTGATGTCATGTGAGGATTGTTGATCCTCAACCTGTCTGCAAGGTTTTTATTCAGATTTTTTCCTGGCAGAACAGTAAAATAATGCACAGAGTCCAAGTGATTCTTAGACACAAACGAGCAGAGCATATATGCGTTTTTAAGCAGACGGCTTTCAGCCTTTCCCATGGGAGGGGATTGTCGCATATTTGCCTGTCTCGGGGGTGTCAGCTAATGTAATTAGGCTAGAGACAGTAATTTAGTCATATGACCAGACACCGACATAAATGGAGGTGTCTGGGCTGTTAACAAAGATCCCTCTCTTGTCTTATCAATTCGATTGTGCGTGACTAGCGTAAAAATTTTCAAGTATGTTGTATTGGCGGTACCAAGTAAAGAGCTATAGATTTGCTATCTAAGGCCCTTTTATACTCGTTAGGGCGAAGTCACAAGAGCAAGCTCTTGTCTCGTGACACTACCCTTTAAAGAGCTACGACCTCCTCCTTGGCAAACCTTGGCTCACACAAACCAACCCTCTCATCAACTGGCGAACCAACAACCTCCGCATCCGCTACAACGACATCGACATAGACTGGGACTGTACCGGCTTTCAGTCATCTTCCATCAGCACTCGCACTCGCGGCCTTCTCCTCTCCCACATCCACTTCTACACAGAGGCAACAACCCCCGGCAGCGAAATATACCTTGCCCTCATTCGTTCCAACGACAAAGACAACGACAAAGACAACAACAACAATAACGACAATGACAATGACCAGCCCACCTCTAACCAACAACTGCCCTCGATCACTCCCATCACACCACGACCACCTCCCTCTCTTCCCCCTGACATCCACTCCATTGTTCACGACGAGTTCCCCGACGTTTCTCCCTCTTCACTTCCTTCTGGTCTACCTCCGGACC